TTCGATCTCTACATCTGTTCACCCAACAATTGTTCTGGGCTTCTGTTGTAGGATTTCTTCCAACTGTGAAAGTCTACGATATGTGCAAGTAAAGCTGTGCCTGGAAGGTGGTGACTCTTAAATACTTGGAAAGAAGAAATTGGATGGCATACTTTCAACACACTATTGATGGCTTGACAATAGGAGTTAAGTTGGCTGGCAATAGGCAAGCTGACTCATCTTTCCTTCTTCCAGGAGTAAAAAGAGAGCTGGGGAGAGAAAAAAAAAAAGGAACACAAATCTCTTGCTTTTAATTTGGTGACCTCTTTGTCTTACATTTGGTTTCAGGGTGCGGTGGAGGAATGTGTAAATAAACCTGCTTTTGCACAAAGTTTAAGTTTCCATTGACCTGCTATCTCCTGGGCGATTATTGTTAATCCCTGAAAATTTTATGCTCAGAAGTCAGATGCCAGTAAGATCATCTGTAACCTGTTCAATTTTTGTTGGGTTTGATGGTTTCTGCATAGATGATGATGTTAATATTATTTGGGAATAATTTTAAGTACACCAATTCTTCAGTGTGGCATAACTTTACAGGGTCCGATAGTATAAAAAAACAGCTACACATTATCATCATAGTTAGTTACAGTGATTTTTATTTCAGTGCAATATAGACACATCTGGCATGTTCCAACTCTGTTATGCAATGTTCTAACTCCGTGATGGCAAAATATTCCACAGGTGGCACGCAGAGCCATTTGTGCAGCCACGCAAGCCCCAGCCAAACTTACCTGCACTGCACATGCGTGTGCCTCCCAGCTGATTTTTGGCCCGTTTGAGGCCTTTTTCGGCCACCCGAGGCTCGAGGGAAACCTCTGCAGCCTCAGAAGACCGAAAGACGGGCCTTCCAGAAATACCAGAAGTCCCCATTTTTCAGACTCCAGATGGCCTCTGGAACTCAGGGAAGGCTGTTTGCTCCCTCCCGGAAGTTGGAGGGAAGCCTCTGCAGCCTCGGGAGGCCGAAAAATGGGCCTTCCAGAAGTGTCGAAATGGGCCCCGTTTCAGCCTCCAGAGGCTTCCCTCGAACCTCCAGGAGTGCAAAAACGGCCTCTCCAGAGGCCCTCTGGAGACTGAAAAATGGGCACTTCTGGTATTTCCGGAAGGCCCGTTTTTTGGCCTCCTGAGGCTGCAGAGGCTTCCCTCGAGCCTCGGGAGGCCGAAAGTGGTCTCAAACAGGCCGAAAATCAGCTGGGGGGCATGCACATACACAGTGCAGGTAAGGGAGTGGGGTGGGGGTGTTGCGCACACATGCGCAGGTGCGCGGGGCGCATTGCATTGTGGATGCTGGAACGTATGCTCTATTGCATGCCTGCGCGCTTTCGGCACACCACAACAAAAAGGTTCGCCGTCACTGTTCTAACTGATTGGGTTTCAGTTAATTAAATGAAATAAAAAAATATTCCACATCCAGATAATCCTCTACTTACAAACACAATTGAGCCCAAAGTTTCTGTTGCTAAATGAGACATTTGTTAAGTGAGCTTTGCCCCAATTTATGACCTTTATTGTCACAGTTGTTCAGTGAATCATTGCAGTTATTGAATTAGTAACACCGCCGTTAAGTGAACCAGGCTTCCCCATTGACTTTGCTTGCCAGAAGTTATAAAAGGAAAATCACATGATTCAGGGACACTGCAACCCTCATAAATAGGAACCAATTGCCAGACATCCAAATTTTGATCATGCGATCGCAGGAATGCTGCAACGGTTGTAAGTGTGAAAAATGGTGCTAAGTCACTTTTTTCAGTGATGTTGTAACTTTGAATGGTCACTAAATGAATTGTTGTAAGTTGAGGACTCCTTGTATATGACTCTGGTAGCTTACAAATACATAAAGTATTGTAAAACAACCAGACAAAACAACAAGTAAAAACAGTACAAACAATACAAAAGTATATAAATTTCAAAGCTGAGATAATAAAAAAAATTAAATTTTGCCCACATTTCTGTTCCCTTTTTTCCCTACTAGCTTTTTGCATTGTGGACTCTTAACCTACCACCCAGAAGGTAAAAAAACAAAACCATAAACCCATACACACGCATAATGTGTTGGCTCAGTACATACAATGGCTTCACTTGGCTGCTGAATTAATCCAATTCCCAGCAGCCTGCAATATATTCAGTCATAAATTAGACAGTTGGTCTAAATCAGTGTTTAGATTCTGGCTGGTGAATTTTGGGAGTCGAAATCCACATCTTTTAAAGTGGCCAAGTTTGAAAGTGTAGATTCTCAATTCAGCTCCATCCCACCAAAACCTAACTTAACCTACTCTGTGAACAGGCTGCTAGGTCTTCCTGCCATGGGTAAGGAGAAAGGCAAGCATTAAACAATAACACCGAATACAGTGAAACCTCCATTTTCCAGACCTTGAGACAATAGAGTTGATGTGCAGCAGACTAGCTGGGTTGCAAAGTACGCCATTTGTGTTGCTGTTGTAAATTACAGCTTTCCTGTTGGCATGGAAGAAACCCGCCAAGGCCTGGGCTGTTCCCAAAGGTTTTTGGCAATTGATGAGGTGTTAATTCCCATTCCTGCAGTAGGTCATTGCTGCTTCCTTTGGTGCAGCAATATTTTGGAAGGTTGATATTTATCAGATTTGGGATTAGACTTTTTTTTCCACTGTAGTTTTTCTAATTTATTTTAAAAGTTGCTCAAAGCTTTGTTTTGTTTTCGGTTCTGACCTTTTTAAAATATCTCTCTCATCTCTCTCTCTTCTGTCTGTCTGTCTGTCTGTCTGTCTGTCTGTCTGTCTGCCTGCCTATCTATCTATCTATCTATCTATCTATCTATCTATCTATCTATCTATCTATCTATCTATCTATCTATCTATCTATCTATCATCTAGACTTGTTAACATTAAATAAAAATCCAGCCCTGAGATATGCACAAAGGTTCTGGTAGGCTTAGCTTCTCATTCCCTTGCTATATAAGCCAGACTCTTGTTAGGCCATCTTCAATTTACAGCCATGGGTTACATAGTCAGAGTAATGAAGAATGAATTCCCACACTGCTAAATAACATCAGCATCCTCTCAGTGGATCTTGAGCTGTTTTCATGCTGTCCAGTAGGCAGTATTCAAAAGATTGGCTCTGGATGGGTTAAAAAAAAGGTACTTCTTGTCTTTAATTCGAACTTACTAGTATTTATATAATTTTTCAAAAATGAAACTGAAAGGCAAGGTTGGGGTTGAAAGCATGAGTCAGTTGTCCCAATTCCAAGCAGCTCAAAACAATAATATAAACACAGGCTCAGCTAAATAAATATAAATCGGGTATAATCATATATCGGTACATAAAATAATTTCATTGTACAGTACCATAATAGCAATAAGCAATAGCACTTAGGCTTACATACCGCTTTATAGTACTTTACAGCCCTCTCTAAGTGGTTTACAGAGTCAGAGTATTGCCCCCAACAATATGGATCCTCATTTTACCGACCTCGGAAGGATGGAAGGCTGAGACAACCTTGAGAATTGAACTCCTGGCAGTGGGCAGAATTAGTCGACAATACAGAATAAATTATCAAATAACCTAGTTACCCATCTTGTATATCTCTTAGTGGCCACAACTCCATTCCTGAGTGCTCTTTGGAACAGCTAAATCTTCTCAAACTTTCTAGATTTGTGAGTGAGGGAAGGGAACATCTGTTGAGAAGAATTATTATGAAGTCCTACCACATCTTGCAGGGGGTTCAATTCTTAGAAGGAGGGAAGACATCTCTTGGGAAACAGATTCTCCCTGAGTTTCTCTGAAAATAAGACCGGGCCTTATATTAATTTTTGCTCCAAAAGACACATTAGGGCTTATTTAGGTCTTATTTTTGAGGGAAATATGGTACTAATTGTGTCCGTCTGGCTGACAATCTTAACTGGAGCTTATTTTTGGGATAGGGCTTATATTACGAGCATCCTAAAAAACCATGCTAGGGCTTATTTTCCAGTTGGTTCTTTTCGGGGAAACACTGTATGTAGAGAAGGTGATTTCATAGATAATAAAGACCTTAAGGTCATTGCCCCCAATTGCACCAGAAAACAAATTTGCAACTAGTACTGGTGTTATACAACAATGACAACCTATATGAGTGACTTTAGCTAGAATGGGCCACAGTTGGGTCAAACCTACATGGACAATCATAAATGCCCACCCTCCCCGGGCAGAGCTCCATCTGTTATTCTATCAATAGTCCCAAAGGTGCTTTTTCAAGAGGCAACTGGACTTTGTTGTTCTTCTTTGAAGACATTTTACTTCTCATTCAAGAAGCTTCTCCAACACTGACTGGATGGTGGGGGGTGGAAGGATTTACACTACTTGCAGACATTTGGTCATTTGCATTCTTTTATTAGAGAGTTGTTGAGGCCTTCTATTCTCCACCATCCAGTTGGAGTTGAAGAAGCTTCTTCGATGAGAAGCTAAATGTCTTCAAAGAAAAACAAGAAAGTCCAGTTGCCTCTTGATAAAGGGCCTTTGGGACAACCATGTCCTGGATGACTGAGAATTCCCTTCGACCGTTAGTCTATCAGTAGATGAGAGTCCCAGAGCACCTCCAAATTCTGGACTAGTTCTTTTCAGGGGGATGGATTTCCCCCTTGCATATTTATTTCAAGATGCTTTTGATGGATTGGACACTTGACCTACAAGGATACTAGGACAGGACTCTATAGTTCTTTGGTTTGCAATCCTAAGTGATTTTGGACAGCCTTTGCCTCATTTATCACTCTGTAGAGATAGCTCCTGGGGTGCTGTGGAGTTTATTAAATAAATATTTCAAAGCACTTTCATGTTCTGGGATGAAAGAGTTGCGTTAAAATGTACTCAGTGTTGTCATTATTGATTTATGCTGGATTTTACTGCTGCAGATTTCCGTCCTTTAAAAGCCTCCAGTTTAAACAGTAAAAAAAAAAGGCAACGTCTTTTTTTCTTCTTTTTCTTTTGCACCTGACCTCTTTTTTTCCCCTCCATCATCGTCTTCTGAAAGCTTTTGCAGGGTAGCCATAAACTTGAAGGGGAAGAAAACATTGACATTCGTGCTTAAGCCTTTGAGAGTTGGGGAGGGAAATAAAGGCAATTCAGAAAAATGCAGAACAGGAGACACGAGATGTTGCCTTCTCTGGAGCTGCAGAGTACAAGTTGCTATTCCATGCCCCATGCCAGATTCATTTCTGGAGCGTAACCCTTGATGTACACCAGGGGTCGGCAACCCACGGCTCTGAAGCCACATGTGGCTCTTTCATCCCTCTGCTGTGGCTCCCTGTCGCTGGTCAGTAAAAGGAAAAAGGATGCTGCGCTAGGAAGGAGACTCTATGGTGGGGGAACTGGACTTCCAGTCAGCAGAGGAAAAAGGACACCACACTAGGAGGAGACTCTATGGTGGGGGAACCGAACTTCCGGTCAGTTCCAAAATTGAACAGGGGGCTTTCGGTTAGGACATTTGTGGCTCTTTGAAGGTTGAAGGTTGCCAACCCCTGATATATACACTGCACAACCCTGTAGTGTCCCACAGGCAGATAAAAGATTCTGTACTTTTAGTTTAATATTATATATAAACCAAGCATATAATAATGTTGTTCAACAAACACTGGTTGGAAAAAAAACTGAGCCCAGAGAGATTGAATTACCATACTCAATGGTGCTTGACACACGTTGAAATAGACACATTAATACACAGATACTTAATCTGAACGATACGCGTTGAAGGAAGGAACAATATTGAGAACTTTGTCATGGACATAACAGGTCTAGGGTTTGAATTTGTAAAACAAAAAAAAATATTTGTTTAAAGATATTGCTTAGTATGTTACCCTTCAATAATGCAGGAGGCTGTAGATAGAGAGTTTCAATTCAATTCAATCTCGCGCATTGAGCTTTTCCAAACCCTTGCGTATGTCTGTCTATTGGTCTCACTTATTTCCTCTCTTTCACTTTCAAGATGACCCAGAGCAGAATATCTTCTAGCCCTTTCTTAAAAATTTAATTAGTGAGAGTTTCCAGGTTGTTATACATTCTGATTCTCATGGTTTGTGGGAAGTTCAAAAAAAAAGTACAGTGATCTTGGGAACCCTGCTGTGAGAGAGATACTAGTTTTCTGCATTCTGTGGTGAAGTTTCCATTTCTGTATTTATATTGTACTAAGGAATGGATGGATGGGTGTGTGTGTGTGTGTGTGATGTCCACCCAGGGAACCTCCATAGCTGAAAATGAGTAGAATCTAAACCTCTTAGCCCACTACACCCCAGTGGCTCTTGGGCTGAGATAGGATTGGCCCAGAGTTCTTCAGCTCCGTGATTCAGGCTGAGCTTAGGACCCAGCATCTCCATCACTAATCCACACTGGCTCTTATGGTGCTTATATAACAAAGTTTACCTAGAATCACATGTTTCTCAACTATGGCAGTTTGAAGATGCTGGCTGGGGAATTCTGGGAGTTGAAGTCCACAAGATGTGTAGCAGAAAGGGTTTGAACATGACAATTTGGTGTGAGCTATCATTAAAGGCATCTGCTGAGCCCAAGGATTTCCTCAGAATGACAAAAAGAGCTTCCCAGTGTTGTGACAACACCTCTTCATAGATGCGTGCAACATCACAACACAATTCCAAGTGGGTAGAGTTTGCCTCACGGGATCTCAGTGCTCCTTGTAGATTTACTATGTATTATTAATATTTTTAAAGTGAGGTTTATATAGAGGCCAAACTTGCTGTTTGTAGCTATTTTGATTGTTGTTGTTTTAGCTCCTTTCCAGCATGGTGTTGTAGTTGACTGGCTGGTATTCCTGTCCTGACCCTATCAAGCTTGTTTGTCTTGTCAAAGAAAAAACTACAGGTAGTCCTCAGGTAATGACAGCCCATTCTGTGACTGTTTGAAGTCGCGACAGCACTGAACGAGGGGGACTTATGACAGGTCCTCAGAGTTCCAGACAACCCGGTACCTCTGCAGTTACACGAACAGAATCTGGGCACTTGGCAACCAACTCATACTTAACACTAGTTGCAATGTCTCCATGTCATATGCCCATCCAATCTTACTGAATTTTGAAGACCGTTGTAAGTCCCTTCCTTCAGCACTGACATAACTTTGAACGAATGGTCATAATTCACACTTGTATTTTAAAAACAAAATGCAATGATTTTTATGTCATTTCAACAAATTATCCTTGGTAAATTTTGTCAATTTTCGTCTCAGGAATACCTGGGGAGATTTCCGGATATATTTTGGCACATGTGGTAATCTTTTCAGTCAATTTAAATGTCTCTCTTGTGATGGGTTTGTGTGCGGTTGACCAAAGAAGAAAACCCTTTTATTCAGTTTTGGTAATTTATCCAGGTTTGGAAAACTCTGTTACAGAGAATCCTACACCCACCATATATTTGAATAGGTTACATGCCTGCATAGCTGATATATTTTGAATGCTTTGTTTAGACCATGAAATACCCTCAGCAAAAGCCATGAAGTTTACACTGGCCACCTTGTATAAATTCTTCTAACCTAAACATAATAATCAGTGAGACCAGAAATCATTCTGAGTGATGTCATTCTTTCTCCTATTAATAAACAGGGCATGATCTGTAAAAATCTGTGATGGTCTCGGTTTTTTGTGCAAGACTTTATCTTGAGGAAACTTTTGCAGGTCTCAATAACCGGCCGTTGCTTTTCTTTCTTTCTTTCTTTCTTTCTTTCTTTCTTTCTTTCTTTCTTTCTTTCTTT